GTTGAGTACCGTTCGCTGCCCATACGTCATTCGCACAGGTGATCGGACGGGTCAGACTTGCGGGACGCTTAGTCACACCCAGTCCCGCTGCTTCGCCCGTCTGGGTGACGCCTGGCGTACCGAGTTTGGCAACGAGGCTGAGCTCCCCGACTGGGTGGAGCTGCTTGGGCAGAGGGTAGATATGTTTGCTCTTGTTTATGATGCTATTCTCACTGCCATGTATGCATTGCCTACTAGTGCTGACCGTACCTGTCACCTGTGCGCCCCGCCTGACCCAGGTATAGAGCCTGCTGCTCTCGGTGCTGGTGAGGCTGCTGCTCTAGGTGCTAGTGCGTCTCCTGCTCTGGGTGCTGGTGAGGCTGCTGCTCCAGGTGCTGGTGAGTCTGCTCTCTTTGGTACTGCGCCTGCTGAGGCCTTGTACACCTTCACACTTGACTCAGGTGCTTCCCGCTCCTTCTTTCGCGACAGCACCACCCTCACGCCGCTCAGCCGGCCGGTTCCAGTCTCCCTGGCAGACCCCTCTGGGGGTCCAGTCCTTGCGCGCTCCTCCACGGTCCTGCCGTGTCCGGCGGTCCCGTCTGGCTCCCTGTCAGGTCTTCACCTCCCCCCGTTCTCTACGAACTTGGTGAGTGGTGCTGACCTCCAGGACCAGTGGGTTGACCAGTTCACTCCTGGAGGTCATCGCGTGACCCACTGTACGTGCTCCCGGACGGGCCGGCACCTGGCCACGTTTACCCGTGCGCCTGGCTCTAGTTTGTGCACACTGACTACTGTGTCCCCTCAGGTCACTGCGTCAACGTCTGAGTCAGGTCAGCTAGCGGCCCCTTGCTCGTGTCGCGCTTTGTCGCACCAGACCCTCCTTTGGCACCACCGCCTTGGTCACCCCTCGGTGCAGCGCCTTCGTAGCATGCACCGCCGTGTCCTTGTCTCTGGTCTTCCCAGGGTTCTCCCTCCCCTCCCACCCTCGCCTGCTCCTCCCTGTCTTCCCTGTGTCGAGGGGCGGCAGCGCGCCGCTCCTCACTCCTCCTCGTTCCCTCCCACAGAGGCTCCACTGCAGACTCTCCACCTGGACGTGTGGGGCCCAGCCCGCGTCTGTGGACAGGGCCACGAGCGGTACTTCCTGCTGGTCGTCGACGACTACACGCGTTACACCACGGTCTTCCCCTTGCGCACTAAGGGTGAGGTCCCTGATGTTTTGATCCCTTGGATCCGCGCTGCTCGTCTCCAGCTCCGCGAGCGGTTCGGGACGGAGTTTCCCGTCCTGCGTCTGCACTCTGACAGAGGTGGGGAGTTTTCCTCCGACCTCTTGGCAGCCTTCTGTGCGGAGCACGGCATCCGCCAGACGTTCACGCTTCCGGCCTCTCCGCAGCAGAATGGGGTTGCTGAGCGTCGCATTGGCTTAGTCATGGAGGTCGCTCGTACCTCCATGATCCATGCGGCTGCCCCCCATTTTCTGTGGCCGTTTGCGGTCCGGTACGCCGTGCATCAGCTAAACCTCTGGCCCCGTGTCTCCTTGCCGGAGACCTCGCCCACACTGCTGTGGACGGGGAAGGTTGGCGATGCGTCCCGTTTCCGGGTCTGGGGTTCTCGTGCCTTGGTCCGTGATACCACCGTGGACAAGCTCTCCGCCCGCACTGCTCCCAGTGTTTTCCTTGGCTTTGTCCCTGACGCGCCTGGTTGGCAGTTTTACCACCCCACCTCACGCCGTGTCTTCCCCTCTCTGGACGTCACGTTCGACGAGTCGGTTCCCTTTTACCGTCTCTTCCCCTACCGCACTGCCCCTCTCCCCCCCCCCGCCGCTCTTCCTCGCTCCAGGTGCTCCCCAGGTAGACCCCCTCCCCGCTCCCGGTCCTGCTCCTTCAGGTGTGTCTCAGGTAGACCCTCCTCCCTTGACTTCGCCGGTTGAGGTCACTGGTGACTCGGGTCCTGCTGAGGGTGGTCCTGCTGGGGTGCTGCTTCTGGGGGTGCTGAGCCTGGGGGTGCGAAGCCTGGGGGTACTGAGCCTGGGGGTACTGAGCCTGGGGGTGCTGCACCTGGGGGCACTGAGGCGTCTGGTGAGCAGTCTCCCTGGAGCGGCTGTCTCCGTAGTCGCTCCGCTGGTACCTCGCCGCTGCACTCTTGTCGTCGACTCCCTCTCTCCCCACAGCAGCTGCGTGAGTGGTACGTTGGCCGTCAGGGTCGCACTGCTGGAGCTAGGGGCCCTGCTGCGGGAGGCGCTGGAGCTGGTGACTCTGCTGCTGGAATTGTTTGTCTGTCCTCCGTCCGTCGGGGGTGAGTGTGCTCTTGGCACGGACGTCCTTGAGGACAGGCAGGAGGACCTTGAGTGTCTTGCAGCCGCTGCGCCTCATCTCGTGTCCATGCTGCTTGCCCCTGAGGGAGACCCGGATGCTCCAGACATCCCGACCCCGCGCTCTTACGCAGAGGCGATTACGGGTCCTTACTCCTCTCAGTGGCAGACAGCCATGGACGCAGAGATGGCATCCTGGAAGTCCACAGGCACCTACGTCGACGAGGTTCCTCCTCCTGGGGCGAACATCGTCAGTGGCATGTGGATTTTCAGGTTGAAGCGGCCGCCAGGTTCTTCGCCTGTCTTCAAGGCTCGTTACGTTGCTCGAGGTTTCAGTCAGCGAGAGGGAGTTGACTTCTTCCAGACCTTCTCCCCAACCCCGAAGATGACCACTCTTCGGGTGATGCTGCACGTTGCCGCTCAGCGTGACTACGAGCTTCACTCTCTTGACTTCAGCACAGCTTTCTTGCAGGGCAGCCTGTACGAGGAGATCTGGCTGCGCCGCCCGCCTGGCTTCACTGGGTCGTTCCCTCCTGGTACCCAGTGGAGCCTCCGGCGGCCGGTCTACGGTCTCCGCCAGGCGCCACGTGAGTGGCATGACACACTGAGGACGACACTTGCGGCTCTTGGGTTTGCTCCGTCGACTGCTGACCCGTCGCTGTTTCTGCGCACCGACACTTCGCTGCCGCCGTTCTACATCCTCGTGTACGTCGACGACTTGGTCTTTGCCACTGCTGACACTGAGGCTCTCGCCCTGGTGAAGTCGGAGCTGCAGAAGAGACACACGTGCACAGACCTGGGTGAACTGCGCAGCTACCTTGGCTTGCAGATCACCCAGGACAGAGCACGCCGCACCATCACACTGACTCAGTCACACATGGTGCAGCAGGTCCTTCAATGCTTCGGCTTCACCTGGTCCTCAGCATAGGCCACTCCTCTGGCTACAGGTCACTCGCTCTCAGCTCCACCTTCGGACGAGTCCGTAGAGCCGAGTGGTCCTTACCCAGAGCTAGTGGGCTGCCTCATGTACCTGATGACGTGCACACGACCTGACCTTGCGTACCCTCTTGGCCTTCTGGCTCGCTACGTGGCTCCTGGTCGGCATCGAAAGGTGCACATGGATGCTGCTAAGAGGGTACTGCGCTACTTGTGCAGTACATCGGGCATGGGGCTCGTGCTTGGAGGACGGGGCGACGTTGTCCTCACTGGTCACTCGGACGCTTCTTGGGTTGACGACCAGGCTACGCAGCGGTCGTCACAGGGTTACACCTTCAGCCTTGGCTCTGGTTCAGTTTCTTGGCGTTCTACACGCTCGTCTTCAGTTCTCAGCTCCAGTTATGAGGCTGAGATCTACGCCACAGCCATGGCTGCACAGGAGTTACGCTGGCTCACCTACCTGCTGACCGACTTGGGAGAGCGGCCTCGTTCTCCTCCAGTGCTGTACGTCGACAACAGGGCCGCCATTGCCTTGTGTCAGGAGCACAGACTGGAGCACAGAACGAAGCACATTGCTCTGCGTTACTTCTTGGCTCGAGAGTTGCAGCAGCGTGGTCAGCTTCGTCTTGCACACGTGGCCACTCGGGCCAACACTGCTGATATATTCACCAAGTCGCTTCCGCCTGGTGATCATCAGCGTGTCTGCACTTTGTTAGGCCTTGTTCCTACGCTTCTTCACTTGCTGTAGGCTTTGTTTGTACTGTGATCTATATGTATACCTGCATGCTTGCTCTTGTAGGTAGATATCACTGTGCTGTTGTTGTTACACATATATCTCTGCATGTGAACTGGCCTTGTGGCCTTTTGCTTGTGCTCAGACTGCGTGGTGACGTTGTGATCCACCCTGAGCTTGTTTTGCACTCGCTGTCTGGCCTTGTGACCCTCTGTTCTCCCCCACTTTGCCTATGGGGGTGTGTCAAACATATGTTTATATGTTATAGTTTAGGTAGGCTTTAGTGAGGTACTCACTGTGGGGTACAACCCCTTAGGTTTTCATTTTGTACCAACACTCTCGATAGTCGATCACTTTTTCCCTTTACTCTCGACAGCAGGGGATGTCGGTAGCTTAGTTTTTGGGTCGTTAACTGTTACGCATTTTATTATGTGCATGCATGTGCATCATGATTCATGGCATTATATTAAATATTCTACATCCTATAGCATTATTTATGCATCATGCATCTATTTATCATTACCACAACATCATTTAATGGTAAAACATACTAATATAAACAGTACAACATATCTTCACAAAACCACTGACAAAGAAAGATCGCATGGTTTAATATACGGTACTGTGAACAGTATTCAAAACTACTCAACAGTTTGGGAAGGGTACTATAGTTTACTTTCATGTTTTATAAAAAACAAATATGAAAATAAATTTTGGCAAAATCGATCGTAAAGGGTTGCTTCTCAACCCAAAAAAAGGAAAGACGACCGCCCTTAGCTTCAAGAGTGAAAGGTCTTGTAACGCATATATTTCGGACAGGAGAATCAGGAGTCGCATATATTTCGGACATTCATGGAATGAATAGGAATACTAAAAGTTGTGAGAGCAAGCCAGATGCCATATGTACACAATTCATGGCTTTCAACGACTTTTACTCTTGCACGTTAAGCAGGTATAGTTCTTTTTTTCACACTGGGCAGGAGGAAATACAGGCGCTTTGCGGCCATGCATTAGTAGCAGCTGCTACTGTTATTACAGCTGCAATCATTGCTGTTGTTGCTGCTGCTGCTGCTGCTGCTGCTGCAGGAAGGCATGGTACATCTCCATGTTGAGTGGCTGCAGGGAGGAAAGGAGGGGAAAAAAGAAGAGCATGAGTGCAATTGATATGGCGTTGAGGGTGGCGGGAGAGGAGCAGAGAGAAGGGAGACCAGTGCATGCAAGAGGGGCATAGGGGAGTGGAAAGAAGAAGGGCCCAACAGACAAGAGAGCTTCCGGGAGAGAAAGGAGGGGGAGAGGGGGAAGGAACCGAGGGGAGGGGGAATGTGGGAGAGGGAAATGGGGGGGAAGGAAACGGAGAGGCGAGGAGAAGCGCGGAGAGGAAATGTGCATGGTGCTGACCTGCTGGTGCTGCTGCTGCATGTGTTGTTGCTGCTGCTGCTGCTGCTGCAAGTGTTGCTGCATATGCTGCTGTTGCTGCATACGCTGGTGGCGAGCAAGGTACGCCTCCATAGGGTCCACCCCTGCCGCCCGCACCTGCCGCCCGCCTGCACCTGCTGCTCCCCCCGTCGCCGCCCCGTCTGCCATGCCCATGCCACCCATCGCCCCACACCCGCCATCACCACCGGCGCCCCCATTAAGCCCATTCAGAGCCTCCTCGCCCTGCATGCTCGCTCCCAGCCCTACCCTCTCCCTCTGCTGCTGCGCCTGCCTCTCTCGCTGCTGCTGTGCCTGCTGCTGTGCTTCATGCTGCAACTGCTGCAGCTGCTCCCGCTGCTGCTCGCGCTGCTGCTGCTGCGCCTGCAGCTGCGCCATCAGCCTCTGCTGCTGCTGCTGCTGCTGCACCACCTGCTGCTGCACGCGCTGCCTCTGCACCGCACCCGCTTCATCTGCTGCCGCTGCCGCTTCTGCTGCAGCAGCGGCGTCAGCTGCTCGCCCTGCGGCCCCTGCAGCAGCCATCTCCATCATGAGCCCCATCTCCTGCTGCGCTGATGGTAGGGATGAGAAATCCGATAGACCCATGCCCATGCCTGCGCCCATGCCGCCGCCCATACCTGCGCCCATGCCTCCGCCCATGCCCATACCCAAACCTCCCATGCTTCCCAGCCCCAGCCCCCCCATGCCGAGCCCCAATCCGCCTAGTCCGCCCATTGCGCCCATTCCGCCCATGCCCCCCATTCCCCCCATCCCCAGGCCCATATCCCCCAGGTCCATCCCCCCCATTCCCATCCCCCCGAGCCCGAACCCCCCCAGAGCCGCGCCAGGGGCGGGGAGCTGGTCCGCGGAGGGGGCGGAGGAGGGGAGGGCGGAGAGGGAGGTGGGGTGGGGGAGCGCGAGCGCGGAGGGGAGCGTGATGCCAGTGCGCGCGGACATGACGTGCAGCTGCAGCTGCAGCATGCGCAGGTACTCTATCGCCTCGTCCAGCATCGACGCCTTGTCCGTCTGTGTGGAGGGGGAAGAGGGGAGGCGAGAGAAGGTTTGGTCAGGAAGGATGTGAATGCCGGACATGCGGGGGAGGGAGGAGAGTGGCGGCGAGATAGAGGAACACAGTGGATGGGGGAGCGCGCCCAACCACTGGCTTGACAAACGAATAGGCGGAGTGTCATGAATAGCGGGAACGGGGAATGGGGAGGGGGAGAGGTGGGGAGAGGGAGGGATACGGGGTAGACGAGGGGGGAGGGGCGTGGAGCGAGGGGCGAGGGGCGAGGGGCGAGGGGCGGGGGGCGCGGAGCGGGGAACGGGGGACGGAGAGCGGGGGACGGAGAGCGGGGGACGGAGAGCGGGGGACGGAGAGCGGAAGCGCACCTTGTTAGAGTTGGGAATCAGCTGCTGCAGCGCCTTCATGCGCTCGTTGATGCGATCCCGCCGCCTCTGCGCGCCGGGGGGGAGGGGGCACACGCACGCGCGGGGGGAGACGGGGGAACAGCAGAAACGGGAACAGTTGAGACGGCGGAATGGACGAGGCGGGGGCAAGGAATGGATGGGGGAAGAGACATGCAGATAGACGCACATGAGCGCGGGAGCGCGGGAGCACAGGAGCAGAGGCGAATGCACGCTATGCGCCTTAAAAGACCACCCCAGTCGTTTCCGCTCCCCAATCCTCCCCCCCACATCCCCCCTCTCCCCCTCCGTGTTCCCATACACATTCCCCCCCACCTCCTGCCCGTTGTCACCGCATTCTCCCCGCGCCCTCGCCTCTCCGCCACTCACCCGCTCCGACATGTTGTGCACTTCAGCGGCGCGAGCTCGTTTCGCCGCGCTGCCCTCCGCACCGCTTCTCCGCCCCGCCCCGCTCGTCGCGCCCGTTGCGCCAGTCGCGCCCGTTCTGCGCGTATCCAGACTCTCCTCGGGCAAGTCCTCTGTCCGCGCGTACTCCCCTTCCTCCCTCCCCCGCTTCCGCCCTCCGCGCGCCCCTCCGCGGCTCGCTCCGGGCAGCCACGAATCCTTCGTTCCGCCCATGCTGGCGGTGCGCGCAGGCCGCTCCGCCTGCCCTGTCCGCTCGGTGCCCCCGCCCGCGCTTCCTTCCCCACCGCTGGCCCCCCCACTGCCGCCTCCGCTGCCCTCCTCCGCGCGCCTCACCATTCCGGAGCTGCCCGTCGCGGCCCTTTCCGCTTTGTGCGCGCCGTTCGCGCCGCAACCCGCGGGCGCGTTGCTCGTAACCGTCGACGCGTGCCCCGCGTCGGGCGACCGCTCCGCCGCAGTCCCCGCCGGCTCCTGCAGTTGATCGGGTTGCCGCGCGTCGGCATGCAACTGCCGCTGCCACTGCTGCTGCTGCTGGCGCGACACGTTTAAAGGGGCGTACGGCAAGGGCCGGCTCGCCGCACTTTGCGGAGCGTTTGGCCCGCAGTTCCCAGTCACCACGCCGTGAGACGCGCAGGCAATCGCGGCGGCACTGGCGTTGGACTCGCTGGCCTGGCGCGGCACGTTGCTACGCGAGGCGGGAGGTTTCGTCACACCCGGTGCCGACGCGCCCGCCGCTCCTGACGCCGTGCCGGCCGCCGCAGTCGCCGTCGTGCCGACCGCTGCATCGCGAATCCCCTCGGTGGGAGCGGCGGCAAGCGCGTTGGAATCGCCAGCGGACGACGCGGGACGCGGCGCGAGCTTGCCGGTTTTAAGAGCCGCCAGGGCCTTACTCGCCAGGAGCGCGCTCACACCCGCGATACCGGCGTTGCCGCCAGGTTGAGGCGCCGCACTTGACGACGCGCCAACAGCACCGGCGGGAGCGGCGGAGACCGCAGGGGTGGCGGAGGTGGCGCCCAAGGGCTTGGCGCTCGCGCGGCCGTAAAGAGCGGCGGGGCGGGAGAAGTGGGAGAAGTTGAGTGGCGGAGAGGCGACAGGCGCGGGGATGGGGAAACGCGAAACTTGCTGCTGCTGCGACTGATGCTGATGCTGCGACTGCTGCTGCTGCTGCTGCGACTGCTGCTCGCTCTTCAACGCTTCCCCTTGGGCCGCTTCCGCCAACGCTGCAGCCTCCTCGCCTTGCTGCTGCTGCTGCTGCTGCTGCCATATCTGCCGCAGCTTCATCTGGTGCTGCTGCCTCAGTCGCTGCTGTTCCAGCAACAGCAGCTGCTGCTGCAGCCCCGCCTCCTCGTCCGTCTCCTGCTGCTGCAGCCCCTGCAGCTGCTGCTGCCGACTCGCGCGCACCTGCGCCACGTGCTGCTGCTGCTGCAACTGCTGGAGCCGCAGGTGGTTCAACAGCTGCGCCTCGCGCTCACCCCTCTCCCCTGCTTCTGCTCCGCCAAGTCCGCCAAAGCCCCGCTTCTGTGCCAACAGCGACGCCGCCACCATGCTGTTCAGTCCGCCCGCGCCTCTGCCTCCCATCTCAGTCGCGGAAGCGCCAACAGGCTCGGCGCGCATCTGCGCCTGCAAGTTTCCGCAAAGCGCCGCGGCATGTGCGCCCATGTCTGCGCCAGCTCCGGCCTGAACGGCGGAGATCTCATCTGCGCGCCAGCCCTCCAACCCCTGTCCGCCGTCGTCGACACTAAACCCCTCCACCGCTCTCAACCGCCCGAAACCGTCTATGGGCTCGCCCAGCGGGTACTGAAACCACGCCTCCATCTCTTCCTCACGCAGTGCCGCCGCGTTCCCAGCCGCGTTCCCCCCCGCACCTCCCGGGGGCGGGAGCTGCGCCGCGAGGAGGCCTTCGAGATTGGCATCGCGGGGAAGGGGGGAATTGCGGAGGGACGAGGGGGCAACGTCGGTGGAGGCGGGTGGGGTGTGCTTGAGATGCACTTGCCATGCCGGCTTGCCCTGCCTGCTCGCGGCCTTGCTCGGAAGGTCGTGCGCGTGGTCGATCCACGAAGCATCCAGTAGGTCGTGCTCGGGGCTGGAGAGAGGCAGGGGGAAGATTAGACGATCTTAAACCAATAATAATTACATTATGATTATCATAAAAAAAAAAAAGAATATGATAAGGAGGAGATGCGCGGAAATGTCACAGGATGATAAGGAGGGGATCGGCGGAAGCAGTGCGGCAAATCCATGATGATTCTAAGATCAAATGTCCGAGGATCGTAAGCAGTCACTGCATAATACAAGCTAATAACGAGGATAGAAGCTATCATGGGAGCTCACACAAAGGCGAGGTCGTCGAAGATGGTAGCGGGTTTCTTGGCGTGCTGCATCACCACCCACTTGGCCTTCAGCGATGGAAAATCCTCCGCCATCGATGGTATTGCGTCGCTATCACGTCCCGCCATCTTGTTTAAACTCGCGATTTTGAGTAAGTGATCGATTCTAATTTGGATACAAGACCTGGATAATCACTTACAAGCTAAACGAACAAGCTAATCGCACGCTTTTCCTCAAATCGACAAATAACTGAAGAAATCCCTACAGACGGAAACTACTCGAATCGAGGCTCGGTCTCGTATAATGGATGGTTCTCGTATAATGGATGTAGACACATAACACGCTGAAGAGCTCAAGTCATCCTAGGTTTCGAGCATGAATCAAAAGCCCTGCTTCCTTCCGATTCCTGATAGCAAATGCTCTGCATTTGAAATGGCCAGTCGGGTGAACACTGTACAGCCATCCCCCTCGGCCTTGCTTGCTTCCCTCACCTTGCCCTCCCCTCACCTCACTCGCTTTCTCCGGGCTTCGAGCGAAGGTGCAGCGGAGAGAAAATGTGGTGGTGGTGGTGTGCTGTGCATGCCTGACGCGCGCGCGCCACTTGTCTCACAACCTTGCATCTCAGCCTGACTTCTTCGGGCAGAATGCAGGGCAGAGCGGAAATTTCCTTTCCAAGCCTTCCCCATCCGCTTGTGGTGGTGAGTTGACGTCTGCTGATTCCAGTGTCAGGGAGGGAAACTCGGGGGGAAAGGGGGAGACGAGAAGGAGCGAAAAAGTGGAAGGGAAAAGAGTGGTTTTGGGGAAAGGGACGAATTTGCTGAAGTTGGGTGGTGGAGATGAGGTGGGCAGGTTGTAAGATTTGTTATCCGGTCCGGTCAACGAGTGAACTGACCGGGCTGCCTGTCGCCAAAGCCCAAACCTCCTGACCAGCTTCGGCCTTCGGAACTTACCATTGAGCTCCTCAGTCATTTTGTCTCGGAGTTTCCTAGCCTTTGGTGCGGTGGAGGTTGGAAGGGACTGGCTGGCTCTTTTTGAGCCAATGGCAGCATCCGCCTGTTGCAACAATGATGCCCGCATCATGTCGCAGCCAAAAGACCAAAATTACGTCTTTGTCCGGGAGCTTCTCTCTCTGTGCCTTACAAAACTGCCCGAAAACAATCATTTTCCAGCGCACATCGACTGAGAACTGAAACCCTAGCCCAAATGCAAATCTTTTTTCCTCAAAGCGAGACCTTATCCACTTTCCGCATCTTTTGCATCGTTGTTGACACGTCCAGCGCATGCTCCAACCACATTTGCGGCTACAATCTCACGGAACAGCTCGCCTCCAGATTCACACTCGTTTGTGGGAATGGCCGTTGAACTACAGTAACATCAGTTGACTGCACCCACGCGTTTCCACCTTCGATTATTCGAATGGCTCCTAGCATTCCATCTGATTTACTTTCACGCATCGGGGACCTCACCAGATTTGTGTATGGTTGCCCACTCTGGATGTGAGCTTCGCTTATATCATGTACAAAGTATAATGAATCTGGACTGGATGTATAGAAATGACTTTCCAAATTGCTTAAACAAAAACAATTGAATTGTTAACATCGACTTGGAAACGCTTTCATGACATACCACAAGTAACGTTGCATATAATTAAATTAGATAAATTATATATATAAACGAGTAGCAAGAAACGAGACATGGGACGAAGGGAAAAGGAAATGAAAGAGGACAAGTAGAAAGTGAGAGGGGGGTAGAGGAAAGAATAAGAGAGAACAAGAAAGAAAAGAATTATTAAATAAGGGGAGAGGCTAAAGAGGCAGTAGGTTAATTCAACCCTGCCCTTGTCGACTTCGTCCTTGACGAAGAAGTACCGCAGCGCAATGTGTTTGGTGCGGTTGACGAACCCAGGTTTGTTCGCGATCCTGATCGCACTCTGGTTGTCGCAATGCAGGTGAAAGGTGGGCGAAGATGGAATTTTTGCCTACTGTAGGAGCTCCTGTAGGTAAAGCCCCTCGTGAACTGCTGCCGTTGCGACGCTGGGAGGAATACTACGAGACTTAACCAAGCATAGGTTCTATGTATAGGTCCTTTTGTGATTGTAACATAAAAAACAAATAGCACACACAAGGTACATAGTTTACTGAACCAGAGAACTATACGGGAGGGCTTACAGAGGGGTATTTTTCTTTGTGCTGTGGCGTGATTCATTCGTTTCAACACATCGCAACAGCCATCGGCTGACCGACAGGATGAAATGCGTCAACTGGTCTGTCGTTGTTGTTCCTGCGGCGTTCAACAGTCAGTCAGTCAGACGAAGCGGAACTCGTCCGTGTCGTCCGCATGCAATCGCGTGGTTGAACGTTCCACCTGCAGCTTTCCTCCTCCCATCCAGCGTGTGATCCCACCCCAATCCCAACCTGTGACCGACCACCACCTGTTCGCGCGCTGACGCGGACGCGTGCGAGCGACACTTCACCTCACCACAACGCCAGCTTCGGCACGGGCACTGCACCATGCTTCCAGCGCACCACCAGCAGGCTCGGGTCGGGAAAACCGTGAGGCAACCCCAGTCAGCGTTGAATCAAGTCGGACCAATCAACGCCCAGTTTGGTTCGAGATGCTGCTTCCCAGAATCCCACAATTATTGTTCACCGTCCCTCTTCAGATCTGCTCTCCGCGACGTTGTAGTTAGTGTTTGACAGTTAGTAGTCGGTGGAAATGGCGACCGAAGAACCCAGCTCCATTCGAAGACGTCGCTCGCATCGGTGCTCTGAAAGCGCTGTGTATATATATGGTTCCATCTTATTACGTTTTCAAAGCATAGTCTGCTCTCAGCATCAATCCCAATTTGAGTCATAGTCAGCTCATCTCAGCACAGTTTCAAGTTGAAATATTTGTTCGTATCTTGAAGTTACGCAAGCCAAGACTTAACAAAGGCCCGGAATATGGGACCTGTTGTTCGCGCCGCTTTCTTTCTATTAGTCGCTACAGTCGGGCTTTGCCTCGTTCATGCGGCTGACACCAGCAAAGGCGCTGAAACAGCACCGGTTGGGGCGAGTGCAATCGTAGTGGAGGTGCCGTCGCGAGAGGTTCAAGCGCACAGGCGGGTGTTGAAGAAAATCAAAGTCCAGCAGGGGTGCGGTCAAGGTTCGGGAATTTGCCCGTACTCTGGCGTCGCTGGCTGCAGCGCTCCCGACGTCTTCTGCAGCGGCGCCTGCTGCACGGTAAGACTTGTCAGCCCTGAAAGGTCGCTTTCTGGCAGTCGTCATCCACTCTTCTCATTAATTCCCGGCTTTACTTTGAGTGCGAGTATAAATATTGTTAAACATGTACATGCGCCTCTTGTGTGCTGCAGGATTCTGCGGAGTACCCTTGCTGCGGAGGGGTTATGTGCTGCAAGAAAGGAGGATGCTACCAAAATAAGAAAGGCCAGTGGGGTTGCTGTCCTATTGGAAAGAAAGCATGTGGTAGAAAGTGTTGCTAGGAAAAGATTTTCTAGAAAAGCTATGACTTTGACTAGATAGGTGGTTTTGGTTAAGATTGTATGCTTTCCTGCCGTTTTACGGGTGCTGTATAGCGCTTTTGCTGTCTATCATGGCACTGTATTGCACCTAGTCAATGCAAGAATGGAAACATGTTAGCAAAACACGTCATACATTCTCATACACTGTATCGACTGCGTGTAACATAGCGGGGATAAGACTTTTCGTAGAGGTTTCCTTGAAACCCCGAGCATGCTTCCTGACCCAAACTCCTTTGGCGTCCAGCTGTCGCACGAGCGTGAGAGCCACGCGCTGACACCCCAGCCACGCTGGCAGTGCGCTGCGTCACCGCCTCACGAGAGGTGCCAGAAGGGCAGGCTACGGAGCACCGCGCCGGAGACTAATATTATGTTTTATTTCCTGGGATATCCTAAATTATATTGTCGCGTCAATAACGAGCAGCTCGGGACAAAAAATATATTACCCCTCACGGACGGCATGCCATTTGGGAGGCATCAACCCTAAACACCATGAGGCAAGGTGTTTATGGTTGATCCCTCCCAAATAGCCAGCCATCCGAGAGGGGTTTATTTTTTGCCAGGTAGTTTTTGAAATGTCCCTGGTCACAGGAAATTGGAATTGTCGAAAAAAACTGCCCTAAGGAATCGGACGCGAGCGGAGAAGCGAGGCGGTGTCAAAACCACCGCCAAAAGGAATCGGAAACTCGTAAACAGGGCGATTCGTCATTTCCTCCGGGATGCGGCTCGGTCAAAATGCGAGCATTCCATCCATCCATTGCAGAGGGGAATCAGCAGAATTCAACGAGGAAGGGAGAGAAGAGGAACAGAACAAATCCCACATGCGTCAACATGGCAGCTGTGTTGCTCTCTCCCGTTCCCTGCTCCTGCCAGATGCGTCAACATCGCTGCGCGCAACCTCTCCCGTCGGGCATCACCCTCCATTCCTCCATGGCCACGTTTCAGCCACGTTTCCATCCACTGATACGTTAAGTGTTCGGGTCGGGGTTTCTGTCTGTCTTATAATAGTCGAGATTTAACGGTCCATCCCGTTTTAGCCCATCGACTGTGCAAAATTCCTTGGAATTCGTTCTTACTAACCTAAACTATGAGGTTTTCGGCGTGCTGGGTCCTCTTCATCTGCGTGGCGGCGCGACTATCGATCATCCACGCGATGGGAAACGAAGATGCTGCTAGGAGCCATCGGCAATTCAACGGCTCGGTTTCAGAAAGCGTTGTTGGAAGGAAACGGTAGTGGGGCGGTGGTATGCCCCCAACCCACCGAGGGCACTTCGGTGCCTTCGATCCCTTTGACTAGGGATCGGTGGGGTGGCACCGATTGACTTCGGGAGACTCACCCTTCGGTGCCACGTGGCGGCACCACATTCCAACCTTCAAGTGCAAGGCGAATTCGGTGTGTTCGGTGTGAAATTCGGTGGTCGAATTTCACCCCAACCGAAATGTTACACGCGGCGCATTCGCGACGCGAGTGTAGCGATGTGATGTTACATGTGCGGTTCGATGTAATGCATTTGCTATAAATCGACCTGCCTTGTGTGCATGCTTAATACTGAAATCCTGAATCTTCTTGTACATGGTCCATTCGAACCAAAATTCCAGAGAGGTCTATCC